TCTGCAATCACTCCCCCAATCCCAAATTTCAAACCCTAACCCTAAACGAATTTCACATGAAATCCATTAAGTTTGGAGTTATCTTCTCCATCCTCAATCCTCCAGACAGTATCTGATGACTCCCAATTTCTGTTATCGAAAACGTTAGCAATACTCATCCTACACAGAAGTACACAGAATACCGCTGAGATTCCACCATGGAGGGCTCTGTGGTGGAGGATCTTGGAGCCCCGGAGTCGTGGGAAGTGGCCGATTTGGATGCCACTATGAGTCGCTTGATGCTCTCTTCGAAAAAGGAATCTAAACTAGAGTTCGATGATGCTCCGTCTTCAGCTGCAGCTTCGTCTTCTGCTTCAGGTTCTTCTGTATCGTATGAGAAAGTTATTTCAGAGGATTTGATCAATCAGGTTGATCAGTTTCTCCGCGAAGCTATTCAGAATCCCCGTGAACGCCTTTCCAGTAAGTATATAGAATATAATATTAAGGTTTTAAATTTTTGATATCTATGTTTTTATTTATGTTGGTATTCTTATTTTGTCATCTTTTTATCAGTTGCTGCCTGTGATTTTCTTTTCTTAAGTTTATAATTATCTGTCAGCAAACTATTAATTATGCTAATTGTCTACTTCCCAGAATAGAATTGTTGCTTCTTCCTTTTTTTTCTATGGAAATCTTTATTTTTGAATCAAGTTTGATGTTGTGACTATGCTATTTTGGTTTTGGGGCAATATGAGCAATTTTGATATTGTCTAAGTGTCTATGAGTGTTCTTTACCATATTTGAGGAAGAATGCCTGTCTATTCTTACCTCTCTTTTTTTTTTTTTCTTTTTTTCTTTTTAATTTAGTTCTAAGGATGGAGCAAGATGTTGAAAAGTTCATCCAAGATCCCACTCAGCAGCAATTAGAGTTTCAACAGCTGCCTACTTCCTATTTACGGTTGGCTGCACACCGTGTGGCACAGCATTACTCATTGCAGTCAATGGTTTTAATGGACAACAATTTACTTGATGGTTCCGGATCTAGAATCATTGTCCGCAAGACACCTGAGTGTAGGCTTCCTCTAATTCGCCTTGCAGACATTCCTGTAAATTTACCAACGGAAGACAGTGGTGTTGTTAAGGTGGCAATTAAGCAGAGGCCACAGAAACGTTCACAGATGGTCAGCAACTCAAATTCTAATTCGTTGAAGACAAACAGTGCCAAAACTGTGGAAGAAAGAAAAGAGGAGTATAACAGAGCTCGAGCAAGGATATTTAACTCTAATAGTTCTAGCAGTGGTGGTGGTGCAAAGCCAGAAAATGAACAAAGATTGCAGGATGGTTCCTACCATGGTTCCTCTGGGATGTCAAAGATGGAAGAGAAACCTGTTTCAGGAGTTTTGGATGTAAATCCTGGTAGAGGCTTGATTGATTCCTCCACAAGTAGCAGTAGGTCAGCTAGAAGTAGGCCAGAAAAGGAGCCAGTTGGTAGGAACAGACCAAATAGCAGGGTGGCCATCTTTCGTGACCGTGAAACTGATCGCAAGGACCCTGATTATGACAGGAGTTATGACAGGTATCGTGTTCCATTTTAACACAGAAATTAGTTTCCGAATTTGCTCTTAGTTTTTCTTCTTCTTCTTCTTTTTTTCTTGGATTTTTCTCAATGTTCATTTGACTGATATTTGTTTCTTGTTTACCACAATACCCATTTGATTTAATTGAGCAACTTTACTATGACTAGCCATTTTTCTGGATCAAGGACAGACACCAATAATAAAAGGGGGCTGGTTCCTTGTTTGCACGTCTTTCTTATAGTTGAAGTTGTTTTGTGAGTTGTATGGCACTGATGAACTGTTGCAATCATAATTTCTTTAGATGATCCAGAGTTTTTTTTATGGTAATTTTTCTTTCCAGGTATATGCAAAGATTTGACCCCGGGTTTGGGTTCAACAGTGGACCATACACAATGCAACCTATGTACTCTCCTGCGGTGAACTATAACACTGAATTTCCACAACTTGGATCTACTCATAGGCCTCAATTGTCTACTGAACATCAGCCTCATCCGCTCCCTCAGCATATACCTGGACCTTGGGCTGCACCATCAACTGCCACTGCAATTGGTTATGGTCATCCAGAAACAATGATGCCACCTTTTAATCCAAATCATGTTGGTGTACGCTCTACATCGGCCATATACTTGCACTCGACACAGTATCCTTGTCAGCGTCCTGGAATGCCTTTTATCCACCCTGCAGAGCAACTTCACCAACCATTCTCACAGGTATAGATACTATCTGTTATTGTTTTTTTAAACATACTAAGCAGTTTAAATTTTGATTGTGGATTAGCAAGTTTCATTTGCAAGAAGCCACTTGTTGCTCTTGCACATTGCTATCATACCTGTCCCTTATTCCTTCTCTGATTGTCTCTGCTTTATTCCTTTCAAATGTTGTATTGAGAAGGGGGTAATAGATTTAGTCCCTGCATGTTCTTTTTGTATTCACTAGTTCTATATTTGATTTTTGGTTTTGAATATAATGTTTTTGTGCAGTCTCAACAACAGCAACCCGATGCAAGTTTTGGATTAGCCCGGCCCCGGTGAGGGGCCAGGGCCATGCCTGCACCCTGCCTGCTGGAAAATCATTTTGAGATATCATCAGCTCATGCGCTCAAGTTTGATGTCTAAACTGGCAGGAGTGCAGGCATGTAGAACCGAGGTGGACTGGAGTATCATCCTCTATTTTTGAGTACCTTCATTGATCCATTCCACCAGTATCGGTTCCTCTTTGGAGCTTCTTCTATCTTGCGGATGAGAGATAAAGACGCTCTTTGCTTGGCTGATCGATTGCCACCGATGATGATGAACAAAAGTAGGATCTGAACATCAGAACTAAGGCTGTAAACATTCTTCTATGGTGAAGGTATATCCTGCTTTAATTGTCCCTCTTTGTGTGTTGAATTATTTTTTCTTCCCCTTTTTTGCATCTCTGTTGTAAGGTCTTTAAATATGCCTTGTTCCCATCATCTTACAGTGTTGAGGAGCCAAAGGGAGTAATGCTTGATGGATATTTTTATGAAAAACTGGGCAAATTGAATATGCTTGTTGGAGCTTTGGGGTTGCAGCTTGCAGCCATCTCCTTCCTTTGGTAAAGCTTTGATCATGATTAATGGCTATGCTTCACTAGAAAACTTGGTCGTCGAGATAACAATGTACCAAATGCATATATGATTTAGTATAATATTGAACTTCTTGATTGCTATCGGGTTCATATAAATGGTTAACCAACCAAAAATTTCTAGACTTGAACTGCTATAATGATAGATATTGTTTGAGAGGGAAAACATACATGAAATATCCTCCCCATGTTGTAGGTTCTAATGATCATATTATCATTAGAACTGCAACTTCTTGTCTTTCTGCTTCAGCTGCAGGCTGCAGCACAAGAAAGGAGATTTTAAAAAGACCAGATTAAGAGATCAACTTTCCTACTGACTTTGAATTGCATCTGCAGTAGACGATGTCAACTTAAAATTCAAACTTTATATTATTTCTCTTGCGTCACCGATTCAATCTAGTCGACTCCAAATGCAGATCATTTCTTAGGCAGAAATCTAGGGCTTAACAAACATATCAAGCTAGATCCGAGAAGAAAAGCTGAAAAGAAACGAGACAGCATGGTTTCGCATACCAGTAGCGGTAGCAGCATGGAAGGCTTTGCACATATTTCATTTCGCCAATACATTTAGACGGTAAAGAAAACTACGCGCATGGTGAGAGAGGAGTTTCGCCGGAGTGGAGCAGAGAAGAGAATTGGCAGCGACGAAAAGCAGGCAGATTGGTTGAGTGAGGAAGTTTGATAGGACCGTCAAGGTTTTGACGGCAGGAGCCCCCCAGCAGCGCCATCGCTACCATTTTCTTCGGCTAAGGTGAGGGGACACCCGTTGCGTTCCGGTTGAAATCGAACAAAAGAAAAAAAAAAATTAGTTTGTGTTTTATGGACAACTACAATTTTCTGGAGAATGAGAAAGGGAAATAGAGGTTAAGGGCTCGAAAAGATAATAAGCAGCACTGTTTTCATCCATCTTATACATCAGGTTTAAAAAAACATTTTGTTTAAATTTAAAATGTAAAGATATTGTATTTTCGTAGAATTAATATTGAATATTTATTTAAAAAATTATTATTTTATAATTTAAATTATAAAATAATTTTTTTTATTGATCATATAACAAAAAGTAATTATTTTTCATTTTTTATTTTATTTTACCTGCATGTCATATAAATTGAACTTAAAATTTCTTACTTCCAATAAAAAAAATTATCATTGAATTATATAAGGTATTAGTAAAAAATTTTAAATTTAAAACAAAATAATATTAAATATTCATATGTCTATTATTATATTTTATAATTTAAAATAATTTCAACAGTAAAACAGTTTTTCAAGAAAGACAATGTGATTGTAAAAATAATAATTTAAAAAATTATATTTAGAGGTGTTCCCTTCTGTCTGCACCATCACGTACAAACTGCAAAACTATAAACGGTACTGTACAGTTTTGGACTGCATGGTTCACACTGCACAACCAATTATCACGTCTCTCTACTAATCTCCATTGCAGGGTTCTAGACTTTACCATACCTCCATGGCGGGAACCCTCCAAGCTCTGATTCTTTCACCTCCGGTCACAGGTACGACGTCGTTTCCTCGCCGGAACCTACATTTTCGACCCAATAGCTCCCTGCGTTACAGCGTTAACTCTGGGCGATCAATTTCGAGGCTCATCAGATGCTGTCGACCTTCTGAGCAGGTAGTTATCAATTTAGCTCCATCCATTTCAAAATCTGAAGTTAATTTGGCAGCTGAATTTGTTTCGGTTAATCACTTTTTATTTATTTATTTATTTATTTTTATTTTTGTTCTGAAGTTTGATGGTTCAAGTGCCGAGAATAGATTGAATTGGGCAAAGCCTTTGGCGACTTTTGCGTCCAACAATTTTCTTCCATTAGGTAAAGTGCTGATGTTTGTTTTGCCTTTTGTTTGGATATCTGTCTATTAAAATTTGCAATTATTTTTCATTGTTCATATCTGATTCTCGTTTATTTCTGGATTAGAGAAAGTGTTTTCCAGCAATAGAAAAAAAAAAAATTGCTAAAATACTTTAAACTTTGTTTAGAAGAGATTATGTCAATTTTTTTGGTCTTTATTGTGCAGCTCTAGTCGGTGGAGTAGCATTAGGACTTGCCAATCCTAGTCTTGGCTGTTTAGCTGATAGATATTATCTGTCAAAATTTAGCACATTCGGAATTTTTATTGTATCAGGTTGGGTTTTGATGTTTTTCCTTCTCATTTATGATTACATTTGTGTTGTGGTGCTCCTCATACCCTGACCTCTCAGTCCACCAATTATCCAGGTTTAACTTTGCGGAGTGAAGCAATTGGTGCTGCTGCAGAAGCATGGCCTGTAGGAACATTTGGGCTAGTATGACCTTGAATATCTTATGTGCCATTATTCATGTTCTAGGTCATAGGTTCTTTCTTTTTTCCTCTTTGCATTTATTCTCATGTGTCTTTCTGTTTTTCGGTTTCTTCTCTTCAGTTCATGTGGGCTTGGTAAGATTTGAGTTTTCACTTTTTTTTATTAATGCTGAAAGATGTCTGGAATTCTTTGAATATTATTTCCCTTGACAGCAGGAGAAAAGATTGAGTATGAAAGATGTCTTTAAATTTGAATACTAAAATTAGATGCTTGTTCTGAAAGAAGTCTTCCATTGCATGTATGTGATATTCAGACAGTGTCTTCAAACATCTTCATTTTTCATTTTTCAATTGAGACAGGGGGCTTAATAGAGGCCTCCATTTCCCCCTCCCCCTTCCTGTGTTTTCAATTTCTTCATATGGTCTTCTGCTTCCAAGCTATCTTATTAAATAACTGTGTAGGATTGTTTACTTTCTTATTTAGGTCCTTGGCTTTTAATGTGAAAGTACAAAAGTGATTATCAACTTTACCTTGAATGTTCTTCTCTATCCTTCTCCCTTCTTCTTTTCTTTTCTAAGAACAATTTGGAATAATTGGAATTGTGTTCATGTCATGTGCATATGCATTCACCGATGCTCGAATGTTTGTTCAAAAAGCTGCTTCTACGTTTCTTGCAGTGCTCAATTCTATTATTTACTCCATACTTTTCAAGGCTGATACTGCAAATTCAGCTCCAACCTCAAGAGTTTGTTACAGGTCTGATAATATTAGTTAGCTTATTTTGTACTATGGCTCATTTAATACTGTAATGTGAATTGGAGTTGAATGCCTAGGGAATAAGTAGTCAGATGTTAGTGAGCATCTATGATTCTAGATTTGGAATTTGTTTTATTCGCTTGCTTAGTTTGTCTTTATGTTGACTGCAGGATTGGCTATATTTAGCTGTATGCCTACTACATTGTCAAGTGGAGTTGCACTTACTCAGGCATGTGGATTGCCTATTATTGTGAAATGTGTTCCCATATTTGTTTGGCTTTGAGTTTGATAGTTACATCTGTGTCTCAATGCAGCTTGCTGGGGGGAATTCTGCACTTGCTCTTGCAATGACCGTGATATCTAACATGTTAGGAATTTTGATTGTAAGTTACAGATAATATTAGCATTTGTATATCAATTTAATTTATCATAAATTTTTATTTTCCATATTAAAATCCTGGTGAATTATTTTTGTCAATGATGGTTACAATGATTGCAAAATGCATTCTTTTCTTTCTGCCTTTCATCATGAAGAGTAGGTGTTTATGTGTCTTGCAGCGTATTTATATAATTGGTGGATTTTCCTAACTTCATATTTACATTTATTGTAGATTCCATTTTCTGTCTCAAAATTTATAGCTGATGGAGTTGGTATATCTGTTCCAACTGGGCAACTGTTTAGAAGTCTTGTTCTCACACTTTTAATTCCTCTAATCTTGGGGAAGGTAATATATCCATTTTTGTTATCTTGGAAAGAAGAAATTTCTTGTGGTAGATGTGATTTTAAAAAGTTGGTCATTTATAGGTATCAGTGTGATAACTTAATAGGAAGTGGTTCTGTTAAAGCTTAATGGTTAAACATGTAAAACTAGTCCTCTGGAACACTAGTAGCACATTATTTCCTTTACATCACGTAGTTTTGCTGTTTTTTAACCTTAATTAATGCCTTCTAATTTCAGATTTTACGAGAATCATTTGAAGGTGACTCACTTCATCTTTGCTACATAATGTGTTTTCTTCTCCATCAGCAAGTTACTTTGAAGGATTTGTACTTGGGAACTATACCAAGCTTAGAATTTTCATGAAGTTACCAGCTTTTGTTTCTCCATTATAAACTTCGTTCTCTGGTTTTCCTGCAAATTCATGCTTAGCAAAGGACTTAAAATGTTGATCCTCGTCAAACATCCTATGCAGACTTGGCAGCATTTGTTGACCAGAACCGTAAGCTTTTTTCAAAGATCAGTGCACTACTCCTTAGCTTGGTAAGAAGTGAACTTTGAAACTTTTTGGTTGCTCATTTATTTCAGTCATGTTAAATGCTTTTAATTTTAGTTTCTACCGTGATGACACGTATGCTTGTTCTCATTTATATCCTCTATGGTCTTCAGCCTATTTAAATTGAAACTTATTCTATAAAAATATGAATTTAGAGATCATATTTCCCTTTAGAATCATGGAGGTTTTTCCTTATTCTTTTTGTATGTGTACTATGAATGTGTTCGTCATTGGGGAATTTTGTTGTATGTTTTTCTGAATTTACTACTCCAAAATGTTTAACTTAAGTTTCATAACGTTGATGGCTATCCAGGTGCCATGGATACAAGTGAGCAGATCGAGGTCTCTGCTGCTGATGGTTAAGCCTGAAGTTTTCATTGTAGCTATTGGAATGGGAATGCATGTCCTTTACTTCATTCTTTTTCTCTATTTCAATTTTATAGTAACATTGAGGGCGAATGCTACATACTGGTGCATAACCTTTTAATTCTTACATGTGGATCTCTAATCTCTAAAGTTTTTCATATTTTAATCTTAGTCCTTCTGGTAAAGCATTTTCACTGTACCAGAAAAGGCAAACATTAGTGACGTTCCTGGGTTGTTTACAATTTTGGGTGACTGAAATTTGGGCAGACTGAAATTTGTTGTCTGATAGTTGTTTGAATTGACGGAAGGATTCTACTTTTATTGCAGAATTCTTCATCTCATTCTATTAGCATTTAACACTGTAGCTGTTAAGAGCCTCTCAGCTGTTTCTGGTGGTAGTCAATCTGTTTTTTCCAAGAAAGAAAATTTTGATGCTGTTCTGCTTGTTGCAAGCCAGGTGACTTGGTTGTCCCAAAGCTAGATGTACTTATATGGATGATTTCTTCCCAGCTAAGGAGACACACTCAGAAATCTGAAAACATACAGAAAATAAACACTTTTTGCTATCTTCACATACAAATCTTTCCCAGGCTGGCTTTGCTCCCAAGTAATGTCTAGGCTTTATTTTTTGGCCTTGTGCTTTTTGTAGAAAACCCTGCCTGTGATGGTAGCAGTTGTGGAGCAACTTGGTGGTGCATTTGGCGAATCTGGTCTACTGGTTCTACCTTGTGTTGCTGCACATTTACTCCAGGTTAAGTATTTGCTCATTAAACTTTCTCTTCATGTTGACTTTATCGTTTCTGACATAAAGAAAATATTTTATGTAGATTATCATGGACTCCTTTCTTGTTAACTTCTGGCTACGAAAGGATCTTTCATCAAATAGTGTCAAGGCGGCCTGAAATACTGAGAACAAAGACCAACTGATAACCATACTTTGAAGAGGCAATATACCTTGTTTGCAGAAATGATAAATCCATTCATTGTTATGGATAGAAACAGCCTAGCGAATCAATTGCATCATCTGGCCACCCACCCTCTTTATTTATGTATTTAGGTTTTGTTAGTAAGTACTGTACTGTGTTGTAATTGTTGTCTCTTTCTTTTCTTTTTTTTTTTTTAACATAGGAAAGGTTTTTTGTTTTTTCTTTTACTACCTTAAAGGTATATAAAAAATAATTAAAATTAATTAAAAATTAAAAATTTATGTTTTTAGATAAAATTTTGTATAAAAAAATATTGTCAAAAGTAGTCTTAGGGTGCAATTGAGATGGTTATAAAGTGCT